GCCCCACCCAAACACCAGCAGACAAAAGCAACCAGGAGTGAAGTGAGCAATACTTTCAATCCCACAGGTGTGAAGGGCGCCCTGTTCTCAGTGATAAAGACCTGGAAACCTGAGCAAAGGCAGGGGCAGTGAAGTGGAGCTAGTCTGGGTGGCCTTGGGGGTAATTAGGAGGCAAAGAAGTAGAAATGCAAGTATCCTTGCAGCTTCTAGAACCTGGTTGCAGGAGGCAGGAGAGAGAATTAGGAGCATACAGAAACAAAGGAGGGACTTCTCTTCCCTCACCCCCCTTTTTTCAAGTTAAGAAAACCGTGAATGTGTCTATACTTTATATATTAGGTGCCTACAATGTGCCAGGCAGTCCCAGCAGTCTGTGATAAATCAATGAACAAAACAGATAAACATCCTTGCCATGGAGGAGCTTATTTTCTAGTAGGGCGAAAGAGGGCATTAATGACTTATGCCCAGCCGGTATGGCTCAGTGGTTGAGCACTGACCCATGCACCGAGAGATGACCAGTTGGATTCCCGTCAGGGCACAAGCCCGGGTTGCGGACTCAATCCCCATTAGGGGGCATGCAGGAGGCATGGTGTTTTGTTTTTTTCTCTCTCTCTCCTTCTCCCTTCTTCTCTAAAATCAATAAAAAATATATATATTTTAAAATAAGTTATAGAGAATGTCAGTGATAACATTCCTGAAAAGCATTATGAGGGAGTACAGCAAAGTCAGGAGGTATGGAGTGTAGTGGGGAGGAGTGTGCAGGTGCATAAATGAGGTCAGGGTAGGCGTGAAGAGGGGGTGAGACTTGAAGGAAGGGAAGGACTCAGCCAACCAGATTTCAGGGAAGAGTGTTCCAAGCAAAAGAGTTAGAGCAACGGCCATAAGGTGGGAATGTACCTGCTGTATTCAAAGAACTGTGGGGACCGTCTGACAGGGGGAAACAAGAATAACCTATGCATAAGGCCCTAAAATTAGAAGGCAGTGTATCCAGGATACAGGCCAAGGGATTAGCTGAAGTTAGGGAGGATAAGAAAGAAGGCAGAGAAGTTTGTAAGCAGAGGGAGAGGAAGCTGAGGGAGTTCATGTTTGTTTGTTTTTTCCCTATGCGGCGGCAGGTAAGGTTTTATGTGAGCATGGAGCAGTGGGAAGATTTTAGAAAAGTCACTGTGGAGAACCGGGAAAGGAACTGAGCAGAACTGCTAGAAAAGATACCAGAGGGAGACCTAAGACAATACACATTGTGGTACTAATCCAGGACAACGTGAAGTTTCTCCATGACACAGAGTAAAAACAGGGTATGGAGGGGAGAAATGATGCAGGCCGGCATCTGCACAGTGGGTCTTGCAGAATAATAAAGAATAATTTAAAACTTCACAGCAAGAAAACAGCTGAAGCAATGCACCCAGAAATCACAGTATAGAAAAGGAAGACAAAGAATATAGCAGAGGCTGATGGTCCAGGAGACTTGAGTTGGGAGAACACACAGAGAGGTTGTGAAAAAGAGAGCTATAAATTATCAGAGTTTAAGATCTGACAGCAAATTTGATATCTTTAGTAGATCTGAGGGTGACGATGTGTTGGAAGATGTGGTCACAATTCTGAGTTACTAGAACAGAATGAAACCAGCATTTGCTTGAGCTGAAATCAGGGAATTTTAAGGTTAAGGGTAGTTAGTTACAAAGTAAGCTCAGTATGATGGTTATTTACTACTTCTAGTGACCCGAGGAAGTCATTTAATCTCTGTTTCAGTTTACTCATCTATAAAATGGGAATAATAGTATCTATCTCATATGGTTGTTGTAAGGATAAAATTAGTGAATAAGTGCAAAGTGCTTAGAAAAGAGTCAGGCATATATCTGTAGAAAGAGCCTTATATGATTATTATTGTTGCTGGGATGATGTCAGAAATTCAGATGGGCCCTAGCCAGTTTGGCTCAGTGGATAGAGCATCAGCCTGTGAACTGAAGGGTCCTGGGTTCGATTCTGGTCAAGGGCACATACCAGGTTGCAGGCTTGGTCCCCAGTGGGGACATGCAAGAGGCAGCCATTAATGATTTTTTCTCATCATTGATGTTTCTTTCTCTCCCTCTCCCTTCCTCTCTGAAATCAATAAAAACTTTTTTTTTTTTTAAAGAAAAATTCTGGTGGACAAGAGAAATACATTAAATATCAGTCATCAAATACAGCAATGGTTAAGGATGCATAGTTGAATAATATGCTTTGGCGTAAAAAATGTGATATTATTTAAAATATTTTAAAACCCATCATTTACATATGACAAACCATATTCATGAAAGCCATAAAAGTATTACTTAAGTCTTTGAGTCTTATATGGGAGAAAGGCTCTGACAGAAAACCATGGAAACCACCATAGCCTGGGCAGCAGGAGCACACTCAATTGTATTACAACAGAAAAGAGGTGGAATTACCTTACTTTACCATATCTTTTCTAATGGCAAAAGTAAGTCCCTAGAAGGTAAAGAATTAAATCTCTGTATGCACTCTCAATTAATTAGCAATGACTGTCATAACAGTGAGCATAAACGAGTCACTGGACCATTAACCAAAAAGTCAGAGAAATAACAACACCTTTTTCAGGTTTTTCTATCACAGTCACATGTTTCATTTATCTCCTATACTAATGAGCTGCCAGGAAAGAGTTCCAAAGGCATTTATATTCACACCCTGTTGGGGACTCCCACAACGAGGGACTCCACCAGTATCTGTTCCAACAAGGCCATCTTTCAAAGAGAACCACATGAAGTAGACATGCTATACCTTTCACGTGGAGCCTTGTGAAACTATATCCTCTCAGCTGACAAGACCAAGCCGCTATGCTTATGCCTGGAAAAGACCTGCTGTGATTAGTGACCTGCCAAGGGGCTTACAAAAAGAAGGCAGGGTCCATTGTTGTCCTTGACTTTGTAGCCTGGACAAGACCATAGCAGGGAAGTGGCTAGAAAGCTTTGGCTGTTGGCACTCTTCTTGGGAGTTTATTCCCTGCACAAACTCAAAGAGGAAAGACAGTAAAAAGAAAAACGGCATTCATATCTGGTCTTGAAAAGCAAAAACAGTCTGTTCTAAGCCTTAGAAGCTGTACTTTATGGGACAAATTTTAGAAAAACATTCATCAGGGCAGAGTGGCACAGACTCATAAAATCTTGCCTCCAATCAGATCCACAATCAGATCTGATTTTTACCAAATGCTGAAATTATGTAAAACCACAATTTTTCAGATTTTCTTTTTTTACACTAATAAAGTCACTGTAAAAACTTAAAAATGTGTATTTCTTAATTGGGGCATGAAATTTTAAAACAGATATTCTGTACTCCTCTCATATTAATGTAATGCAAGAAAAACACAAAAAACCACTAGTTTCTGTTGAAGCCACTTTTGATTCAACCAAGTTTTAAAAGGAAATCTTAATAATAAAAAGGAAGTGTTTCAACTTTTCTTAGAAAACCTTATCCAAAATGTTTTAGTTTTTCAACTTAGGTTATAGGAAGATATTCATTAAGAAATGGAGTTTGAATGAAAGCAAAGGACATAAGGGAGGTGGGCCTCTCCCGGCCTGTCCACATCCAGGAGGTGGGAAAAGACATCACAGGTTCCCGCTGAATTGCGTTAGCGATCACTGCCACATCTGCTCTCCGATGCCAACAGGCGTGCCACCTTCGTATCCCATCCTTAAACAGCGTGCACAACCCCTCTGGCCTCCTAACCCGGCAGCCACACCACGTTCATCAGAAAGCATCCCCGCACTTCTTAAAGAACTCCAGCCGAGATCATGTCATGACTAAGCGGCGCTGACAACACGCCAGCCTTTAAGTGAAGCATCCGCCCTGATGCCACTTCTGAAGAGCTATTCCAGCCCAACCACCAGAACCTTCCTGGCTCAGACAGACCCATCTGTGGCACAAAGCCACGCGTTCAATGTCAGGAGAACAGCTGCCTGGAGCAGGGAGCAAGGGATCTGTCGACGCTCTAATTTCAGCTCCTCCAGATTCCACAAAGATGACAGGCAGACAGACAACCTGCGGCCCCTCCCGCGGGCCGCACTCCCAGCCACTAACCCTCCCTGCACGCGAGCTGCCGCGAATCCCACCCCCCGGGCACGGCCGAGGCCTGCTCCCCGGCACCGGCCTCGCGATCCCGCCCTCGGCCCCGGGCGGGGAAGGGCCGGGGAAGAGGAAGATGGAAGCAGCGGCATTTCCCCGGAGCCTTGCAGACCCTTGGCCTGGGCGGCGCGGGGAGCGGCCCACCGGGGAGAGGGAGGGAGCGGCTCCGGGGCCCGGTTCTGGGTGCAGGGCCGGGGCCGGGGCCGCCCGAACAATGCCGCCCGCCGGCGCGGCCGCCCCGCCCCCACGGCGCGCTCGGGCCGGGCTCGGGCCGGGGCTGCCAGGGCTGTCAGCCGGTGCTTCAGCCGCAGGACTTGGCTCCAGAGCTCCTGTCGGCTCATCCTCCCAACATGGCTGCCCCCGTCCTCCCGGCTGCGGGCGCCGACCGCACCGCCCGCCGCGCTGGCCGGCCGCCAGCGACCCCCTCCCGCCCCCGCCCGGCCCCGGCGCCAGCGGCCTCCCGCCACCGAGGCCGGCCCGCACCGTCTGACACGGGCGCAGCCACACGCCATGGGGCCCGGGGCCGGCCGTGGAGGGCCGGGGCGGGGGCTCGGACCCGGAGCGGCGCGGCCCCGGAGCTGCAGTGCGCGCAGCGCCGGGCGGGCCAGAGCCGCGGGCAGCCGGGGGGACGGAGGGCGGTGCGGGCGCCGCGGGGCCGCAGGCCGCTGCACCCGAACCCGGGCTCGCCGGCCCCGGAGGCCCCCACGCCCCAGGGCGGTGCCCCCGCCCCACCCGGGCCTCGGTCTTCGGGGAAGCGCCCTGGGTGCCCGCCGCTCCCGCCCCGCCCGGCGCTGCCTCCTCCGACGCCGCCCGGACCCCGGCCCGGCGCCCCTCCCCCCGGACGGGCCCTCCCGCCCCGGGGCCGCGGCGCCCCGTCCTCTCACCTCAGCCGCGCTGCGGACCGGCGGGCGGGCGGGCGGGCGGGTCAGCAGCCGCCGCGGCGCGCGGAGGTGCGGGGGGCCGAGCACGGACGCTCCTCAGCGCGAGCAGCGGCCGCCGCGAGCCGCAGGGCGCCTCCTCTCAGCCCCATCACGCAGCGGCCGGGTCCCGCAACGAGGGCCGCGGAGGGCGGGACAGCAGGGGGGAGGGAGGCCGGGGCGCAACGACGAGCCGGCGGCGGCGGCGGCGGCTGCGGAGCAGCTCGGACTCGCGCGGGCGCCTGCGAGGACCGCCGCCGTCTGAGCGCCCGCGTCCGTCCTCCGAGGCTCCGCCCGCAGCCGCCCGCGCGGGACACCGCCCCGAGCCCGGCCGCCGCGCGTCACCGCGGCCCGCCCCGCGCACGCGACTGGCAAGCACAACGGCCAATCGGAGCGCAGGACTCGAGGCGGCCGGCCAATCGCAGGGAGAGCTGAAGGGTGGGGGCGGGGAGAGCTGCAGAGACGCCGGTGCGCCCCCTGGTGGCCCAGACGCCCGCTCGGGTGCGGGGGCGCGGGGTGGGCGAAGGCGGCGGGCAGAGTTCCCTCCCCGGTGACCCCAGAAGGGCGTTAGTCGCCGCGCCCGACCAACCGGATGATCCGCCTTGGGGACAAAGCCTGGCGGCGCGGGGCGGGGCGGGGCAGGTGGGTGCGGGGGGAGGCGGGCGCCCGCGGAGCAGCTGGGATGGATGTGGGAGGCGGCCGAGCGTGCGATGGCTGTCAGTTTGGGAAACGTCTCTCCCAGCGCGGAGCAGCGGGAGCTGAAACACGCACGGGGCTGCGTGTCTCCTCCCGCAGAAAGCTCCCGGCCTGTTCTCGCCGCGCCCGATCGCACCTCCCACACGCCGCCCTGGGAAGAAAGGCGGGATGAGTAATGGAAAACCGTGGCTTAGCGCGCATTCAGCTCGTCTCCGTGGGAGCCAGGGCGCCGGGAGGGCCGGGAAGAAAGGAAGAAGACGCTTTGTGTGGCCCCCGAGTGAATGAGCCGCGCCCCGCCCTGGGAGACGGATGCCCTTGAGGGAGGATTGTTGGAATTCACAAAGCGGGAGGACACCGAGAGCTCCGGGAGCGACGTTTAAAAATCAGATTTAGATTCAGCTCAAAAGAAAAGGCCCGCAACTGTTCGGGAGCGGTCCGATTCGGTGCTTAATAAAATGTAATATTCAGCCGTAATGTGTGCAATTAGCATGCCAAGCACCCCTTACTATTTTATAAGATTGTGAGATGCTTTTTTTGTTTACTAGCAGAAGCCAAAAATAAAATTGGAATCTCTCTTGTCCCCTTCCTCCCCTCACCTCCCCCAATGCAATAGAGTATTGGGTGTGAGAAAGCCTTAAGTATAAGCATAGACCAGAAAATTTCAACCGGTGTGCTGCAAGAATTTTAAAAATATGCCATACCTGACTGTAGTCAGGGGCACTGACCTCTTTTCCTTTAGATTGTCAAATAAAAGAATGACAACAGGCAACACAACAATAGCCATTTGATGTGAACAAATCAAAAGTTATACCTGTGTTATTGTTTTGTCAGATCAGCAAAGAAATATATTTTTTTGGTGTGTTGCAGAATGTTAGTAAGTAGTTTATGTGTGCCAGGAGATGAGAAAGGTTGAAAATTGCTGGCATAGAAACTAAAACATCAAAAACAATTTTCTACACTAATGATTTTGGAAAACTGCCATTCAGACTTAAAGTTCTCATACTCTGCATCTCATCAATATTTATTGAACATTTATTTTATTTAGACTTGAAACTCCATCTTGCAGATTTGACATAGCTTACACTGCGGAATACAAACGATAAAACGGTACAGTATTAAAATAGGAGCAAACTACTATATATATAAAAGGCTAACCAACCAGCCAACCGACTGTTAGGTATGATGTGCACTGACCACCAGGGGGCAGATGCTCATGCAGGAGCAGCCGAGATGCAGTGACTTGGCAGCAGCAGTTCTTGGGGGACTCACCCTGGAGCCAGAGAGGAGGGAGCCTGATTCCTCACAGGGCTACATGATTCCATCTTCAGCCATGTTGGTGGTGGGGCACTGTGGGCCCTGAACCTGGTTTACTGCACACCTGTGTTTGTGTCCCACACCCTGTATGACAGCAGCTTTGCAGAGTGCCCCCTCATTCCGGGACCCCTCCAGGGATGTCAGAGAGCTGGTTTCAGACTGATCCCCACAGGCCAGGCCAAGGGACCCCACCTGCTGGAGGGACCCCCACTCATTCCGCAGACACCCTTTGAGCCACGGCCCCGCCCCAGGTGTCGCCAGCAGGGGAGGGACCTCAGGAAGTTGCCTCCAGGGTGTGTCTGGCCTGTCTTGCCCAGTCCCGCCCCACCGGACAGCTTCTAATTAATTTCCTTTCAGTGTGCATGAACCCATGCACCAGGCCACTAGTCCTAGATAATAAAGCCTACTATGCAAATCAACGGAACAGCAGAACAACCAGTGGAACAACCAGTTGCTATGACACTCACTGACCACCAGGGGGCAGACACTCAACGCAGGAGCTGCCACCAGTCCACAGGCCTCAAGTCAGCCAAGGCAAGTGTGAGTGGGAGGTGCCCCAGTCACCCCGCAGATCAGCCCTTATCACTGGCCTGGCCTAGGGACCCTGACCCATGTTCAAATTTTGTGCACTGGGCCTCTAGTAATATAATAAAAGGCTGTATGTAGGAAGCCTGTATGAATAATAAGGGAAGTAGGCAAGCCCTGGCCAGTGTGATTCAATTGGATGGCATGTCATCCCATATACAGGAATGTTTCGGGTTAATTCCTGTACGGTGGGGGCACAAACCCAGGTTGCACGTTTGATCCCTGCTTGGGGCACATGAAGGAGGCAACTGATGGATGTTTCTTTCTTACATTGATGTCTTCCCCCCCATCCCACCTTTCTCTCTCTAAGGCCAATAAAAATTATAATTTAAAAAAGAGAGTCAAGGGAATGTGCTACCATTGACAACAAAACTCAGCTCTTAGCTTCCAGAAGGCCAAGACAAAACTGAAACTACAATGTGAATAAACAGAAGCTCGTCAATCATCAGCAGATACCAACTTGTCCTAGCTAGAAGCTCTTTGCGTAAGTACTGTGATAAGCACCATGGAGAGTTACACAAACCCGCAGGGCACTTAATATTGTTTGCGCTCTCAATGAAGCTCAAATTAAAAAGAATCTAAAATAGTAAAGGGAGCCGAAACCGGTTTGGCTCAGTGGATAGAGCCTCAGCCTGCGACTGAAGAGTCCCAGGTTCGATTCAGGTCAAGGGCATGTTCCTTGGTTAGGAGCGCATTCCCATGGGGGGTGTGCAGGAGACAGTTGATCGATGTTTCTGACTTTCTATCCCTCTCTCTTCCTCTCTGTAAAAAGTCAATAAAATATATTTAAAAATACTAAAATAGTGAAGGGAATCAGGACAAGAGCACACATAGAGGGTCCAGTATAAGCAGCTAAGGCTGTTGTAGGTTCCAAGGCCGAAACAGCCTGCTCTCTCTCCATAAGCCTCTTGCCCTTCTATCAGATGAAGTCACATGGCAGAGCCATTACAGTTCTCAGATAACAGGTTTTGTATAAAGGCACCCCTTAAAAGTCGTCAAGTTCTAGAAAATTGAATTTAGCCATGGCCTGGTAGACTTATCCCTGGAATACAAGGAAAAAAACACATGAGGAGGTCTGTTAATGTGATGCCCACAGCCACATCACTACAACTAATAAGGTTTCCGGACACAAGATCAATATACAAAAATCCAAAGTGTTCATTTTAAAAGATCCCATTAAAAATAGAAATAAAACTATTAAATATTTAAGGATAAACTGTCAAGAGATGAGCAAGACCAATATGGGGAAAAAATTATACAACTGTATTGATGAAACACATTAAAGAAGACCTAAGTACATGGAGAGATTTCCTTTATTTTAGGACAAAAAGAAATGTTATAAATGTGTCAGTTCTTTTCAAGTTAACCTGTAAATTTAATGTATGTTCAATTAATATTTCAATACGATGGATTTTCCATGGAATTTGACAAGGGGATGGTAAAATTGAAATGATAAGTCTATTCCATGTGCATTTAAAAAAATTCACTTGCTAGCACAAAGCCAAGAATATCCATGGCTATTTTGCAAAGTGAGGTATGGAACTTGCCCATAATTTAGCAAAATTCTCTGTAACGTGATACTAATTAGAACACTGTTGAGTTGGCACAAGAATATATAAATCAGAAATGGAACAGAACAGAGTCCAGAACAGATCACATGCATATGGAAATGTAACATATGATAGAAATGGCATTATAAATCAGTGGGAAAGTGATAAACAATAAATGAGGCTGGAATAATTGCTTAACTGGTTAAAAAAAAATGTAATCCTTACACCACACCATTAAAAAAATAAATTTCAGGTGAACTGAAAACCTAAATCAGAAAAGTAAAGCTTTCAGTATTTTAGTAGAAAATATACAACATTTTCGTGACCTGGAGATAAAGAAAAATACCTTAAGAGAAAAACAAACAAAACAAAACAAAAAAAACTACTAGCTGCAAAAGTAGATTAATTTGTCTACACTTTTTTTTTAATTAAAAAAAAAAAGCCCATCTCTACACTACAAAAGAAATTATAAGACAAAACAAACAAATTGGCATAGATTGGACAAATACATTTGCAACACATATAACCAGAGAATTATTCAGACTATATAAGGGCATCTGATCAACTCACAATAATACAAATAATATGAAAAAATACAAATAATCTCATTTAAAAAGTGTGCAAAAGAATATAAGTAGGCAGTTCACAGAGGGAGGTATGGAAAGACACTTAACCCACTGGAAATAAGATACCATGCCGCATCCATCAAATTGCCAGAAATGAGAAGTGCAACAATACCAAGCGATGTAAGGGAGTGAAATGGCACAACTAGTTTGGAAAATGTGTCAGAAAGTAGGCAATGGACGATGAGCACAGCCTCTAACCCAGCAAGCCCCCTCCAGTACACACCCAGGGGAACTCTCACGCAGGTACGTACGGTAAAGGTACCAGAATGATCTTCCCAGTATTGTTTGTAATCAGAAATAATTGAAAAGCCCATCAACAAAGGATGGGTGAATAATGGTGATATAGTGATATGATGGAATACTATGCAGCCATTAAAAATGAGTGATCCAGCCCTAACTGGTTTGGCTCAATGGATAGAGCGTCAGCCTGTGGACTGAAGTGTCCTGGGTTTGATTCCAGGCAAGGGCATATTCCCAGGTTGCAGGCTTGATCCCCTGTCATCATTGATGTTTCTATCTCTCCCTCTTCCT